TGTGTGTGTGTGTGTGTGTGTGTGTGTGTGTGTGTGTGTGTGTGTTTACTGCCACTCACCTGGAAAGCACCACCTGTCTTTGTCATTATAAAAACAAAAAAACATGAACTCAAATGCTATTGAAATGTCCTCTAAATTGCTCTATTTCAATGCAAGTTAGAGGAGGCCATATGTGCTGTTTAGTTCTCACATTATTAACATTATTTTGAACCTCAGACATCCTTCAAGTTTTCTGTTTGCGTTGATTGTTGTAACTCATAAAAAGGATATCAGTGCACAGATGATGTCTTACCGCAGGTGAAAGATTTGATTTGATTTCAAACTGCTTAATATAAGCAGCAGTTCATAAATACGTGAGTGCGGTCCCTGTTTTCCCTTTTGTTACCTGCTCACAAACACATGTAGAGTGTATTTGGTTTGTTATTGTTACCTCTCTGATTGGCTGATTAAGAAATCTCACATTCGACTGCATTGCTGACACGCTCAGTGTACGTTCTGGGAAACACAGTGACTTCAAATTATATTTTTACCCCCGGTTTCCATCCTCTGCACTACCTCACACGCATACATATTCTGTTTCTAATGCACACACACACACACACACACACACACACACACACACACACACACACACACACACACACACACACACAGTGCAAAGGGATTTGATATCTCATCAAGCCAGAAAAAGGCATTGTGTGAGCTTATTGCGCATTTCTGACAGCCCCACAGTGGCTGATTGACATTACTGCTGAATCTGTCATGTTAGGGAGCAGCACTTCCCCTCTCATCTGTTTGCCTCATCTCTTTACGTCAGCTACCCTGTTTTTTTATCATCAGCTCAGTCTCTCTCTCTCTCTCTGTATTCCCCCTCACACCCGCCTCCACCTTCTTCCCCGTTAGCCCCCTCTCTCCTTCCTCTTTTTTCCCCCCCGGTACTCATGGAAGAATTGAGAGAATGAGCGCATCTCCTTTGCCTGTGGCGCCTTAGTGATCCCACAGGATTAAAAGTGCCCTTTTCTGTCTCTCTGATAGAAGGAAGACTTCAAACACTATTCCCTGTGCACCTCGAACCCAATCACCCTTTCACGGTCGTGCACACTGCCTTTGATTGGGCCACGGGGGTTCACACAGTACATACTGAACTGGACCTGTGCCAGAGTTGCTTCTTAGTATTCACTCAAGGTACGTGGGTGCCGCAGTGGGGGTTGAGAGGGTCCATGCTTCCTGGTCTGTAATTACTATGAAATTTCATGGAAAAGTACATCTATTTATATCATAGTGCGGCACTTTATGTACTGAAACATCTCCCCTCTGTACAGCGTGCTGTTTAGGTAAACCGCTCCGCTTGTTTCCCTCACAGAAAAAGTGACTCGGCTTTGATCAGCGTGTCAGAGAATCTTTATTAACAAATGCATGCATGTGTATCTACGTGTGAGCTGCTCTATTTGTGTTCCTATTTGTTGATTTATGTGTCTAATTGTGTGTATTTTGGGGCTTGGTTTGTTTTGCCCGAGGTGGGGTGAGGATTTGACCCCACTAGTCTCTCATTTGTCACCTGTCCAAAAAACCTTCAGTCCAGACCTTCCTCTGCCACCGGCAACCTCCTCTTTCTTTTTTTTCTCCCCTTTTCTTCTTCTGTATGTCTTAATGCTAATTTGGCACACTTTATGACTTCTGCCAGCCAGTAGAAAACACCAGAAGAAGCATTACAGTAATTGCTCAGACAGTTACTGCACTTCATTTACTGCAATAGACTTAAAGGCCACAAGAAAGTTATTGTACTGCTGGTCATTCTTTAGATTTAGTGAATGTCTTTTCTTTGCTGCAAAGAGTCTTGTTTTCAGCTTATGGATATATTAGTGTGTCCAAAATGTGAGAAATGACTGGCAGTTTGCAGCAAAACACTTAAACCATTAGTGGGACGAGCACTTAAGGTTTAGAAGAACTCAAGACCACCACATTGAATGCATCCTTAAATAGCACTTTCACTTTTAAACTATTTTATCCCCACGTTTTGTTCAGTAAATAGTAGAGGCCTACATTATGCCATTTTATGCTGGCATTGTTATGTAATCCTATTCAGGTGAACCACATTCAGCCAGCATGAGCATCGGTTTACACAACTCTCGATTAAAGAGAGACATCCACACGCATGTCGAGGTTTGCATGTGCCATTTTCCACATGTGCACGCTTGTGTAGACACACAGGGTGCCCACACACACCTACTCACACAGTCACACACACACTCCAGAGAAAAGTTCTCCTATTGACAAAAAGGGTCACAGAGTTCACAGCTATGTGATATATTGGAAGAGGAGACTATTAACCTCATCAGGTCTCTTTCTTTGGCAGCAAAGACGAACCGGTAGTAACTTGAACACTTATCCCCCCACCACACACACACACACACACACACACACACACACACACACACACACACACACACACACACACACACACACACAAACAAGTCTTTTATAGTGTTGACCCTATAAAAGGGTCATTTCCTGAAGGTGCAGGAACCATAAAAATTAAGAGGGAGAGCGCTAAAAGGACAGAGCACCAGCAGCCGGACTGTCTTCAACTCACTGGTCAGTGTTTGCTGGAAGTTGATGACTATGTGAGGTTTTTATAGATATAGTCTCAGTTTGACGATGACACCTGTTCTCCTTGTGTAGTTGCTGGCATCAGTTCAGGGAAAGATAAACTTTGGTGTTTGAATTGTTTGGGCGCTGAGGCATGAGCGGTTTGTTTAAAAAGGAGTAAAAACTTAAGACACGTCCGTACGACTGTAGAAATTGCACAACGTACCGTCAACTTTATGGCTAATAAAATTTCAAAGGGACCAAAGTCTATTAATACGGGGACAAAATTTCCCCAGGACCTCAGGAATCTCACTCCTTCCACCCTCCTTCCTCTATTCCCACGCTCCTGTGTACCAGTCCCTGCAGCTGGCTTTTTCCCCCTGGCATTTGGAAATATACCACCTTCATCAATAATACAAGAAGAATGGATGTAAGACCGCATTAATCCATGTTTGAAGACACTACTGCACATACATATTTCCTCCTGCTGCTTTTTCAGCTGGTGTGTGTATCGCTGCTGAGTTCCTTGTTGCTTCTTTAAAGGGTTTCAGAGAGGGAGCTGGAGAAAGGTGCACCGTGGCTCATGCTATGGCTCTGGTGGGGAGGCGGAGGGAAGAAGAGAGCAAGTCCACAGGGAGCAACAAGCAGCCCAATCTTATCCTAAAGGGACAGAAATAATGGAAGGGTTTTATAGGTACAATTAAAAAGACCTGAAACAGATGTTACGTTCCACTAATAAACGAAATAATTACTTTGGACCAGTAATTAAGGCCTATATAGGGACGCGAGGGAGGAGGAGGAAAAGGGGAGTGAAAAGATAAAACGGAGCTCATTGAGGGGATTATTGTTGATGAATGTGTTCAGGCTCTGTGTGGTGATGTGTGAGGAGGTGCTGAGGATCAGTTTATGGAAGAGTCCATTAAATCTAAGGCATTTAAGCAAACGAAATGCTGCGTGGGCGCAACGTTGGATCCCACGAGGGAGCCAGTATGTTGGAAAGAGGCACAATTAACAGTGGATTACCTCATTATTATCTGCATGAAAATTTAATCAGCCTCTTTTCTGCGGCAAAAGAGAGCAGCTTCGTACCGTATTTATCACCTGTGGTTGTATTTCTCCTCACCATACCCACATCACCCGAGGACATTCATTATGGAAGTTGTGAAAATGCATGGTTTGAGTAATTTCTTTAGGGACGAGGGCCAAGTTTGATTTATATAATGTACAGCAGAATTGGATAAAGAGAAGCTCATGAAGGGAACTATGGCCATATTATGTTGATTATAACTGAGGAAAAGAGGGAAAAAAGCTTCCTCAAGAG